GGTGGTCTTCACAGAAGACCACGTTGAGTACACTAAGTTCATCTTTGTATGGAAAAGATACATAGATGACGTTCTCATCGTCTGGACGGGTACTGAAGACCTTTTTGCAACTTTCGTAGAGAGATTAAACTCCAACAACGTGAATCTAAAATTCACAATGGAGATTGGAGGCACATCTCTTAATTTTCTTGATTGCACCTTTAGAGTCACCACCGAACAGAAAATCGAGACCACTTTGTTCAGGAAACCTACCGCAACGAACACCATGTTACGATGGGAAAGCCGTCACCCAACCCCGCTAAAAAGAAGTATCCCGATTGGACAATACCTCCGGTTGCGAAGGAATTGTTCAACGACTGAAGAGTTTACTATTCAAGCCAGGTCACTCAGGACTAGGTTTAAGGAGAGGGGTTAACCAAATCGCTGTCTAAAATATGCATATCAAAGAGCATTACACAGTGATAGGCTGGAACTCCTCAAAGATAAACCGGTTTCTAATGAACCAACATTGATCCGCTGTGTGACCAACTTTGATTCAGGTTGGGACCAGGCAAAAAAGATCCTAGGAAGATTCTGGCCATTGTTATCCCAAGACCCTCAACTTAAAAGCGTGGTGACCTCCAATGTATCACTTACAGCACAGAGAGGTAGAAACCTCAAGGAAATTTTAGTACCCAGTCATTTCTCGGGTAAAAAACCTGGAAAAAATTGGTTATCTACACAAGGCATCTACAAATGTGGGAGGTGTGTAGCGTGCAGATACATTAATAAGGACTCCAAATGTCTTACAGATTCGAGTGACCAAACGGTGCTTAATGTGAAGCAGTTCTTTAATTGCAACACTAAGGGCATCGTATACCTTATGGTGTGTACATGTGGATTAAAGTACGTGGGAAAAACCATTCGTCCCCTCAAAAGGAGAGTAATGGAACATGTACACTCCGTTAGAAATCTTATGGATACCTCGGTGGCAAGACACTTGAAGAACTGCCACCATGGTGATCCAAGTGGTTTGAGGTTTGCAGGGATAAAGAAGATTCTCTTGGGACATAGAGGAGGTGACCTTGATCTTACCCTCCTCAAAAGGGAATGTTATTGGATTTACAGGTTCAAAACTTTACAGGTTTTAAACAGGTTTTAAACGAGGGTTTCACATTCACTTCCTTTATTGATAAATAAGGGTACCCAGGAGTAACTTTAATCTGTTTAGCTATATGTATAGTGATTGCATGCATATATTTTTTTATTCACTTATTATTATTTTTTTTTATTTTTGACACATAAGAGGCTGTGAACTAGAATTAGCCATTGGTTTACTATTACGTGTGCGTACATGCGCTATGTGGTTAACATATGAATGTGTGAAAGCTTTGTTTCTCCCATCTAGCTCTGTGGGGGCTGACTAGCCCCCCCAGGGTCACCGTTATGGGTATTGTTTATCCTTTAGTCTATATTCGTACACCTGTTGATCCACGCATGGTGCCAACCTTGAGTGATAACTCTAACATATTGTATATATTAAACTTACCAACAGTTATACATAATAGGATTTTCTACTTTGAGATGCCATATGATCTAGGTCACTAGCTTGAAGGCTGTATGCCACGAACCAGAAAAGTGGCATATAGATATATATTATACTTACCAAATAAGTATGAACATATGGCTACTTTTATAATTGGGTCTCAGAGAATAGAGGTTGGATATACTTAACTTTATGGATCCTTGTACCCATATGTTTGACAGGGTTTCTTTATTCATACAGAAGAAGAGCGCGCTTATTATTCTTTTGCATTTCTTTATTCATACAGGGATATATAGACAAATGTTATACTATTTGACTTGGATGATGTTGCCACCATCCAAATCTAAAGTTCCTTAAGTGAGTGCAGCGCTATATTAGTGCTAGGTAAGTGTGTTCACTGGATCTTGGAACTCTTACCCTTTATCATTTCTCTTGATACAATTGGTACATAAAAAAGAAGAACAAAAAGAACATATACAGATAATAGTGTAATATGTCTTTAAATGGAGCGATCGATAAAATAAGTGAATATATACACTCACATTTATTAGAGCCTTTTCGAGTATTAGGCTCTAAACTTCTGCACGTCTGTGTCTTTTTGGGTAGATCACACGACCCCTCTTTCCCAAGGAAGATATGAATATTCTCCACCGAATATATAAAAGACACAGATATTTTATACTAAGTCTAGCATTTCAAAATGAAAATGATGTCCATATAAGTAAAAATAGAAACGCTCACCTTTTTTAGAACCCTTGGTAACCAGCTCTAAGCATATTTGCCCAGTTTCAAATTTTGGGGTGACACGGCCCCTCCCTTTGAATCACTTATACAGGATCTAAACAAATGTATTTATTCATATGTTTAGATATTTAGCGTGAAACCCACAGAAAGACGGTTACCGGACCTTAGAATGGCCGGACTAGCGCCTGAGAATAGTTAAAGGAATAGCCAGAGGTCAAGGGAATACGGAAGACGGGGACACGATTATCCAAGCCAAGTAACAGGAAACCAGAAAACAGAATAGTCAGAGAGATAGCCAAGGGTCAAATACCAAGAAGGACAAGCAGAGATAATAGCACCAGGGGACTTTAAACAAGAACCACACTAGGGCATCTGACAAGTGTCATGATAGCCCTTTTATAGTGTGGGTTCTTTGGCTTTAATTTTGAAGCTACGCCCCCAAAAAGTCCAGGAGCGTGGCCACGTTTGAATTTTTGCGGCATTTTCTTTCTGACGTCGGCGCGCAAGCGCCGCGTCATAAAGGTGGGCGTGTTCCGAGCGGCCGGCGTCAGAAGAGCTGAGCCGCCCCCCGGAAGTATTGGAGGAGGACCCGGCGCTGCACGGGACCGGCGGAGAAAGGTAAGCGCTCGTTACACCTAGCACTAATATAGCGCTGTACTCAATTAAGGAACTTTAGATTTGGATGGTGGCAACATCATCCAAGTCAAAAAGTTTTTTTGTGTTCTGGTGATTGTCTATGTGTGGTGGGTAATTAGGAGTACCCGCAGAGTGTATACAGCAGCTGTACTATAGCTTCTTCTATTTATAACACAAAGCGCCATTTATTCCACCCTTTTTCGTGTATATTCAAATGTTATACTATACATTTTGGGATATTAGATAGGTGTCCTCCTGATATATTACATGATGGAGTGTTCACCACTCATGTATTTATGTGTTATATAAGGCAATATACCCAATACATTAACTTTCCAAACACACACTTTTTCCTTTCTTTTGAATATCTGCTCCTCCGATGAGGTGACACGTGGGCTTGTTTATTTATTTACAAGTCCATGTTGCCATTCAATCAATTGTTGCCACGTAACATCAGGGGGTGTGGCTTGCTCGGACTCAGCTCTCTGAGCGATAAGCAAGCACACACACCACCCCCCTCCTCTCTCATGGACGTTCACATGTGCATGACGCTACCCAACCATTTGCCGTCACGTGGATTTGGGGGCGTGGCCTGTTCTGGCTCAGTTTTTTGGCGCGAATAGTAAGCACACGCCCCCCTTTTCTTTACTGGCGGCATACGGCTATTTAAACAGCCTCCTGTACAGTTTGAGGTTTGCTAAGCCTCGGAAGAAGGCGCATTCTATAGCGCCGAAACACGTGTTAGGCAGTAGGCAGGGAGACCAGCGACTCAATCTCTTCCCATATCGCTATAGATAGATCTAGGGAGAGTTCACTTGCGACTTAGATGTTTGGCTAGGGTTTTTTTCTAGCTTTCCTACTGGGCTGACTATCTGGGTTACCCAGGGGGGTTGGTGGGAATCTACTTTTTTAATGGTAGCTGCAAGATCCTCTGTGTGGGGAGGAGGATGTTCTCTGCCTTCCACCCTGTGATTTCACACCAGGGGATACTATGTATTTTCTCTACCATGATATACTGACATCCTTTATCTCCTGATACATTGTCTATATGTATCACCTTGTTGCCATACCCCAGCATTGAATTTAGTCAGAGCTTTCCAAGTAACCACAGAGCCAGTAGTTCATATCACATCAAACAGCACAAAGGAAGAGTACAGTAAGGGAAGGGCTTTTCTTCATTTTATATGAGATCCACTCATGTGGCCTTAGAATTAGATATTTTGCCCCCACCTAGTAATCTGTATTTAGTTTTTCTCTGGTCTCCCTATCTTTTCAGACCATTTTTTAACAATGTGGATGTTTTTTAACAATTACTATTAAAAGTTACGTTTTATATACATATAACTTTACCTAGGGGCTTCCTAACCCTGTGGGTCTCTTTTTTGGTCTATTTAATTTGTCCCCCACATTTTTAGCGTAGGACCCACCAATATTGGGGTACTTTGAAAGTAGTGGTGGGCTTAACAACATATGGCCATATGGTGGAACCAAATCCCCATATTTATTCTCAGATAGGCATTTTAGTAGCCTTCTTTGTATTATATTTTTTTGTAGTCTGAGTGCGCTGCAACTATTTATTCTCTTATGTATGAAGTTTGGGTACTGCGGCAGCACCTTTCATACAAAATGCAGGTCCCGGGAGTGCCCCCTATCCTTTTTCTGTATATATTAGAAATGTTGAGTCACTTTTCCCCTGTTCTAGTATCAGTATAACTTTTATGATTTTACCATAATATAATTACACTGAACCAATGTATGAAGGGACCATTCTATTATGTTTACACATACTCTTAATTTATGGCACAATAATGTATCAGATCCTTGTACAAGAGAGATACACTTGACATTAAACTGTTAAATGTATCCGTTTGTTTCATGTGTACATGACTGATCCGGGTACATACTGATACTTTCTGTTCGCCACTATAATTAACATACATGGAGGTGGAGCTAGCCTCCACGTCACCTAGTGTCTATTCCATTATGTGGGCGGATTTGGACATTTTGACTGACATTTATCCTATTACCGCCCACCCACAATACGTAAGCACGTTAGCCCCGCCCATCTTAGGATTTGGCGCAAGATCAAATAACAGAGCGACCGAGGAGATACCAATACCGGACACACCTCTGTGAATACACCAATCTGATTGGAGGGTTGATGATTCAGGTACTGGGGATTAAGGTATAAAAGACCTCTTTTTTTAATAGTTTGTTTTCCTCTGACGAAGGTGCTTTCCCTACAGCACCGAAACGCGCGTCAGGCATTCTATCTTCTATTATTTTTTACTGATGAGCACTTAACACTTGGCACGGCATGGTGTTAAACCTGCCTCACATTGGTTTTTTTCGTTAAAATTTCTTCATAATGTTCTATTTAGTTTGCTCCATTGCTGTCTAGATGGATATAGGAAGTGAGGTATTGCTACCGGTAATTATTTTCACTGCAAGATTTATATGCAGTATACTCTTCTAACTATACTCTCAACCTTCCTTCATCTTAACTCCCTGACAGCTATATACTTTAATAATCTGTCCATAGATATACCATTGAGCACTCTAAGCATCATGGTTTCTATGAGTAATATTTCTTAAACTACTTCCTGTTACACCTCTAGAGGGACAAGTGCTATTTACTATACTATTTATCGATTGTATCTTTATTTTTTATTTTTTTCATTTCTCTCCGAGGTAATTTTCTGGATGAAATATAATTTAACTATCCACAACTAATTATGATCCTATGTAACAACTTTATAGTCCTCTCAAATAGAGGATCTTTTGACAATTTGATAAGTTTGGATAGACATCTCAATATGGAGTGTTTCTTGTAATATCAGGTATAGTAAGTAACTAAGAATATTTCATTTTCGTTTTTTTGATAGTATATTGTACTTAATATGGTTAGTGTTGTGGATATCTACTGAGCCAGACACAATAAAGCTCAGAGTGGATATCTAACACTATTTCCACAATATATATATATATATAAATACTATCCATGTACCTTGGAGCAATTTGGTATTTATTTTATTTTATAACCCTCACCTTATAGGGATATTTCAGAATTTATGTGTATATAGTCAATATTCATCTTTATTAGACTACTTTGTATTTCCAGGAAACACAGCGAGTCACAAATGTTTTAGACTTTGTGATAAGCACATTTTGTTTTTCTCTATATAAGCGCAGGGGTTAGGCTCCTTGAGATCCCTGGAGTCTCTTCTTGGTATTTTGGCTAGTTGGCCACAGCTAGAGCACCATCACATGTGGCTGGTGTTCGGCAGTGACTAGCTATCATACATATATATTTACTTTAGAGAGAGTTCAGAGAAGGGCTACTAAACTGGTTCATGGATTGCAGGATAAAACTTACAAGGAAAGGTTAAAGGAACTTAACATGCATAGCTTAGAGGAAAGACGAGACAGGGGGTATATGATAGAAACATTCAAATACATAAAGGGAATCAACACCTTAAAGGTGGAGACTATATTTAAAAGAAGAAAAACTACCACAACAAGAGGACATGGTCTTAAATTAGAGGAGCAAAGGTTTAAAAATAATATCAGGAAATATTACTTTACTGAGAAGTAGTGGATGCATGGAATAGCCTTCCAGCTGAAGTGGTAGAGATTAACAAAGTAAAGGAGTTTAACCCCTTAACCCCTTAAGGACAGAGCTTCAAAAGCTTGTCTTTCACTTAATGACAACGGCATTTTTTTCATTTTTTGCTGTTTGCGTTCAACTGCAATGTGCATTTTACTAATTTGTTGCACCAACACATATTATACATCGTTTTTTAAAGGACAGAAAGGGCTTTAATTTGATGTAACACACATATATATAAATGCTTATTTATTATAAAAAAATACAGAAAAATGTAAAAAAAATGAAAAATTTTTGGTTTTTTTTACAGTTTTTGCAATAATAATGTGTGCATAATTAGTGCAGGTTAAGAAAAGTAATTAAAAATAAATTAATTTAATTATTCTGATTTACAGAATATACAATGTGTCTGGGATTTAAAGTTTTTTTTTGGTAGTTACAGGTCACAAAGCACAAGGAGTAAAATAGACTTTTAATGTGGAGCGATTTTAGAATTTGGTATGTTTGTCTTGTAAGCCTAATAGCCATAAAAGAAAACAAAATTGCCACACAAAGTATATATTTATATAAAGTAGACATCACGGGCTATTTACCTAAGGTTGTTTTGACACTTTCTACGTAGCCATTTCACCGCCAACCTCTGCTAAATATTGGAGTAAAATTGTGTTTTTTTTTGGTTTTTGGCACACAAACCTATAACAAAGAAATTCTTGTGTATATTTTGTAAAGTTGGTGTGTGCTATTCCTGTACAAAGTTTTATTTTGTGTTCAGTTACATCTGCTGAGTAAAACGACACCCCCATTGTATGTCTTTGCCACTATTTTGTGAAGTTACAGTGCCACACAGGATACCTGTCCTTTTCAGTATTCACAGTAGAATTTTGAGAGATGGATTTAATGAGCCTTAGCTTCCATTTGGGGTATTATGACAGTTTGACTGTTCAAAAAAACCCCACAAAGGCCTACCATTTGTAAAAGTAGACACTCCAGGGTATCTCATAAGGTGCATATTGTGCCTTAACATGCCCCCATTTTTTCACCAATATATGCCAAAGTATGTGGTAAAAAATAATTTTGTGCATTTTTTACATACGGATTGCATTTTTGCTGGGCGTTTTGTATATTTCATATGTGCCACTAAGTTCAAACCCCCAAATTATGCTCAGCTAAGTCTTCTGAGTAAAATGACACCCCATATGAATGTCTTTGGCACTATTTCGTGAAGCTACAGTGCCATATAGGAGACCTGTCCTTTACAGTATTCACAGTAGAATTTTGAGAGATGGATTTAATGAGCCTTAGCTTCCATTTGGGGTATTATAACAGTTTGACTGTTCAAAAAACCCCCACAAAGGCCTACCATTTGTAAAAGGAGACACTCCAGGGTATCTTATAAGGTGCATATTGTGCCTTAACATACCCCCATTTTTTCATCAATATATGCCAAAGTATGTGGTAACAAATTATTTTGTGCATTTTTTACATACGGATTGCATTTTTTCTGGGGTTTTGTATATTTCATATGTGCCACTAAGTTCAAACCTCCCAAATTATGCTCAGCTAAGTCTTCTGAGTAAAAAGACACCCCCAATGAATGTCTTTGGCACTATTTCGTGAAGCTACAGTGTCATATAGGAGACCAAGCCATATCCGTTTTTACCAAACTTTGAATTTTGACGCTGGGCCTATGTGCAATTTCCAAGCATCTTCGCAGGTTTTAAATTCAAACTACCCCACAAAGGCCTACCATTTCTTAAAGTAGACACCCCAGGGTGTTTCAAAAGGTATATTTTGAACCTTAGCGTGGGATCATTTTTCCGCTAGCTTGTACCAGATGTAGTGGTAATAAGCGTTTTTTCGGCCTTTTTGACATACAAAGTGAGTTTGCACAGTATATTTTGCAAACCTTATGTGTGCTTCGACTGTATAATACTTCAAATGTTGCTCAGCTATGTCAGCTGAGTACAGCAATACCCCTGTATGTACCTTTGCCAGGTATGTGTGGACATCGGAGGGGCACATTTGGGACACAGCCATTCCATTTTTTTTCAAACTTTGAATTTTTATGCTGTGCCTATGTCCCATTTTAGAGTATTTTACCAGGCTATATAATCCAAATACCCCATAAAGCCATACCATTTCTTAAAGAAGACATCCCAGGGTATTTCAAAAGGCATATTTTGAACCTTAGCGTGGGATCATTTTTCCGCTAGTTTGTACCAAGTGTAGTGGTAATAAGCATTTTTTCTGCCTTTTTGACATACAAAGTGTATACAGCAATACCCCTGTATGTACCTTTGCCAGGTATATGTGGATGTTGAAGGGGCGCATTTGAGACGCAGCCATTCAGTTTTTTTCTAACTTTGAAGTTTTACGCTGTGTCCATGTTCCAATTTGGAGTAGTTTAGACGGTTGGTTATTGAAACTTCCCCACAAACCCATACTATTTATTAAAGAATACACCCTGGGGTGATTCAAAAGGCATATTTTGAACCTTGGCGTGGGATAATTTTTTCTCTAGTTTGTTCCAGGTGTAGTGGTAATGAGCGTTTTTAAAATGTATTTTTTTACTTTTTATAACTTTTTTACTTTTAAAAACTAGTTTTTAAACTTTTGTTTTGCTTATAAATTTTTTTTAAACTTTCCTAAACTTTCTTAAAACTTTTTTACAGATTTAACATTTTTCTAAGCTTTTTTTTTACCGTTAACCCCTAACTAGCAGTACGCAGCACTAACAGTAAATTCCCCATTTTCCCATAACTCCCACCCACCCCAGCTAGCAAAATACATAGTTATAAAATATTTAAATTAATTAATTAAATAAATTGAACCCCTGAGGGTTAAAAAATAAATAAAAAGTTAATCCTCAGGGGTTAAAAAAAATTAGATCACAGTATAATACTGTGATCTCTATTTGATCGCTGTAGGCAGTGATCGACTGGCAGGGAAGGGGTTAATTTTTATTTGGACTAGGTAAAGGGTTTTTTTTTTTTTACTTAAACATTATTAAAACATTTTTTTAAGCTTAATTTTTAATTTTTTAAAGTTTATTTTAAAACTTTTTTTAACGTTAACCCCTAGTTAGCCTAACGCCAAATCCCCCAATTCCCCACTAACTTCCACCCACCCCAGCTAGCTAAATATATAATTTTAAAATATTTTAATTAATTAATTAAAAAAAATTAACCCTGAGGGTTAAAAAAAAAAAAGAATTAACCCTCAGGGGTTAAAAAAAAAAATCAGATCATAGTAAAATGTAATCCCTGCCAATTGATCACTGTAGTCAGTGATCAATTGGCAGGGAAGGGGTTAATTTTTTATTAAAATGGGTAAGGGGGGGGGTACTTTAAATTAACTTTATTGTTTTAACAGCAGGGGGCAGGATCATCACTGATCCGGCTCCCTGCACTTCACACAGAACCCGGAAGTGCAGGGAGCCGGTAGGTGAGTATACAGAGCACATGTGCTCGCTCTGACTTGCGGTCAGAGCGAGCACATGTGCTGGGCAGCCTGACCGGGTGCTCCCGGTATGCCTCTAATGCAGAGGCATACCAGAGCACCATTAACCCCGCGATCGCCGCGATAGCGGCGATCCGGGGTTAATTTTACCGCGTGACGGACGAGGTCCGTCACTCGTCGTTAAGGGTCTCCCCTCTGTGACGGACCTCGTCCGTCACTCGTCCTTAAGGGGTTAAGGACACAACTTCTGGAATAAAAGGGAATCATGACGGAATATTTCCTGTGTCCTTAAGGGGTTAAGCATGCGTGGCATATGCATAAGGCTATCCTAACTATAAGATAAGGCCAGGGACTAATGAAAGCATTTTTCAAAATTGGGCAGGCTAGATGGGCCGAATGGTTCTTATCTGCCGTCACATTCTATGTTTCTATGGGTATCAGATGAAGGTGCAAGCTGATCCTATCGGCCTTCTGGCACACTGTGGCAAAAAATTACATATACCACAGGATTAGCCTCCATCTCTGCTCATTTCTCTGCAGTGGATTCCTGCATTATGCAAGATTTTATAACATTCAACTAATGTTGATCTATAACTATGTTGACCAATCTATATAGCGGGTATGATATTTAGCCTGATATACAACCCCATTGGAAATTTACTCTATATAGGATTTCTTGTAAGCATGTTTTCTTTTTATAGTTAGCACTACCTTGTCGTACCTAACTAATCTTGCTACCATAATGTCTACTGCCATAGCTTGTATTACATGCCAAAGCTTATATTAGAATGTTCTCACAAAAATATGCTGTTTTACCAAGTGACACTACTGTTTCTTGTGACATGCCCATTATCACTATCTCTATTGTGTTTCACAAGTCATACTATCTCTAACACAGTGGTCCCACAACAAAGCCTATTTTAGATCCTGATTGCTTCAGATAACTATTAAGAGACTCACTCCTGTTTACCTACCCTGTTTTCTTTATAATTTACATGTGAGGTATTTATTAGTTTATTTTTGTTTGTTTTTTAAAAAAGAAATGTGCAAATATCTCATGCCATGCAATGTATTTTCCTGTAAGTTAATGCAATGCTTGTCAACGCTATCGTGGCACAATAAAAATAAAGAAATGGAAAAAAAAAGTGTATATATTATTTGTGGGTACACTTAAAAGGAAAAGTGTTAAATTACAGTGAAAGAAAAACATGTAAAAAAAATTAAATTGAGCTGTCACAAAATGGTTGCATTTGGGAAAAGGCTCATGCATGAAAAGGTTAAACATAATATCATCAATTAGTCCTGGATTATAATAAGTCATGGGTCTAAATTTCAAGTGGCATATGAATGCATCTGAAACCTTGTTTTAAGAATGTCTCTAATATTTAAGCAATTTCTCGTTACCTTCTTTACAGTATTCACCTACTTAGAAAATGGCACAGAAAACTTCAGGGAAGATCATCAACAAAAGAGCAGTAATTCCATGGTACCAACATTATTACATTTTCTGTTGTAAAACACACTGTCATATCCTGTTTGTATTTTCTATAATGTGGATGAAATGTATATATTTAATACATAATACTTAATTACCACCTGAAGCTTATGTATTACATGTATTCTATTTTTTATCAAATAACTAATTTATGTAATGTCCTACATATGTGGAAACTTTTTACCAAGTCAGCATTGCCTAAAAGTATGGGAAATTTGCTTATATATGATAATGCATAAAGTAAAATTAATTATGCATAACATTTTTGTATTGTGTCATGAATAAAAGTGTAAATTAAGGATTGTGTAGAAATGAATTAAGGTACCGAAACACCCCAAATTATTCTTATGTGAAATAACAAAACATGTAAGAAAAAAAATTATAAAAAGTGTTTGTTTTATCACTAGTGAATTAACAACCAAACTGCAAAATAAATGCTACAATTTAAAAAAAAAATTCCAGCTCAGATATAATAACAGCTTGGCTATTTTAACCTGGATTTTAAAATGTGTCCTACATTTCAGCACGATTTGGTGTTTGTAAAATTAGCTCCTATGTATTAAGACAAAATACCTCTGGAGTGAAATCCACAGTCATGAACCTATCTATATTAATGGAAAACTTTCCATGGAAAACATTTTTTTTTTTTTTGCGTGTAGTCAGGTCAGCTGGTAGAAAATATACCAATTCCACTATTATATAAGCAGTTAGTAGTTTCATAGCCTATGACTTCTGATATTTTACATTAATGCCTCATTGCCGTCTTTTAGGATCTTAATGGTGGCATTCAGTATAAGTTTACACCTCTGGAAACTGTATTCACATCAATATAACATCATATCATGATTTATCCATTGATCCAGTCAGTGTTTTGATTTTTGAGAATGTTGTAGTCAGCATTGGGTTTAACAAGATTGAGAGTGGCATAATGCATTCTGACTGAAGTACTTGCATCCAATGAGGATCTCCACGGAATCCTTTTTTAGAATTCCGTGGAGCCAGTATCTGTTCAGACTGCATTGACAAGCCTTTTCCTATGCTAGTTGCATTTTTTTCCCACTCATTGTTTGTACAGAAAACAATTGCACAACCATTGACATTACATTACTGTGATGTGACATATCTGCCAGTCTGAATATCCTCTTGAGTCTTTCTACAATCCCTACTTACCAGACTGTCTTCTTCACCAGGTTCTGGCCATCTGTAGTCATATTTTTTAGTGCTGTAAAGTTTTCCGCCATACAATTCAAATGCAATAAGTAATCAAAATAATTTAAATGTTCACTTGCTTTAATTAAATATGACAGCAGCATAGCTTTTGGCTATTACCACAATATTGAATAAATTAATGTCATGTTAATGTACGTTTTAATTAACATTACAAGCTAAAATGTAAGCACTTCAATAAACTGTTAATTGCCATTTGTTGACAACTTAAAAATGTCTAAATTAACATGGTCTTCAACAATAACAGGAAATAAAATCTCTAAAATGGATACAGAATAGATACAGAATACATGCAGAAGGCATGGTAGATGGAATCCACTATGAAGCATTTTCCAATTAATAAGAATTTGTTTTAATCTCAAAAGTAGTGCATACAAATTCTGCTGTATAGTAAATTACCATAACAAATTTCATAACATATTAATCTCAGTGATGTAGTTATGGCATACTTCCCAAGTGTCCTTATTTAGAAGGGTCAATCCCTATTTTGGACCCTGTCCTAATGTCCATCTTCTAGGAGCTCCATATTGTTGTTGTGTCTGAGTGTATAACAGATAATCCACAATAATAACAAAAATTCTTTAAACTACAATAAATATGTTTAGAAATCAGTAAATAAGATACAATGTTCTTGTTCTAAATTACATTTTAGTTGCATAATTTGTTATTAATTGTTGTTATTATTATTAATAAATTAAAAACTTCTCAGAACAGCCTTTCTCCTAGCCACATCCAGGGCTGTAACAAGACATTGTGCTGCCTGGGTCCAAGGATTAAATGCTGCCCCCTCACCAAAACCACAGCACATGCATTATGTTATGCAGTGTGTGCAGTGAACACAGTGTCTGTGTAGGGAATGCAGTGTGTATTTTATGCAGTTTGTATAGTGGATGCAGAGTGTGCTTGTGTAGTGGATGCAGTGTCTGTATCTGTGTAGTGAAAGCAGTATCTGAGTTTTTTAGTGGATGCAGTGTCAGTGTATGTGTATGCATTGTGTGTGTAGTGTATACATTGTGTGTATAGTGTATGCCGAGAGTGTGTTTGTATAGTGTATGCAGAGAATGTGTTTGTGTAGTGGATGCAGTGTGTGTTGTGGGTGCAGCATTTAGCATTTTGACCACTAAAGCAAAGATGCAATTTGTTGTCCCTTCCTACCCCCCACCAAAAAAATACATATTTAACTGTGTTTGTCTTAACCCCCCTTTTCAGTTTCTTTTGTGTGTCTTATCCCATCATTTGTATCTTACCCCTTTTAGTGTATCTTACCCCCCTTTTGTGTCTTAAATTCCATTTAGTGTATTTTATCTCTTCCCCCCCCCCTTTGTGTCTTATAAACCCGGTGCATCCCATTATCCCCTTTGTGTGTCATTGTCTCTATTCCCAGCTCTGTGTGTCACTGTCCCCATCCAAATCTCCTTTGTGTGGAGATGTGCCCTTCCCCAGCCCCTCTGTGTGTATCACATTCAGGGCAGGACTGGGAAAAAAATTCGGCGCGGGCATTTTTTTTGTCACAGCGGCTCACTAAGAAGGGGGCGGGGCAGAGAGGGTATGTTTTGTCATCACTCATGACAAACACGCCCCCTCTCAAAGTGAGCATGTTGGTTCAATGCTCTTCCAGGGCAGACCATGCGCAGAGCTCTGCTGAAGAGCTCTAGCATGAGAAAAAAGCCCTGTATTTGTTCTGCACAGTGCAAGCAAATTTAATAACATGCTTGCACTGTGTTTCCTTGCAACTTGTCTCTGGTGTCTCTATAAATGGATAGCAGGAGACAAAAGGACCAGGAAAGAGTATTGTGCATGTGTTTGGAGCCTGCTTGTGGTATTGCGTGTGTGCAGAGTGAGCTGGTCGTGGTGTGGTATTGTGTAATAAGGTCGGTTTTAGTCGTGTTGTGTTTGTGGTGTAATGTAATGCATATGTGGCTAGGGGCTGTAGAGAATGTGTGTATAGGGGATGTAGCAAGTGTGTGCATTTAGGCTATAGTGTGTGTGTGTGTGTGTGTGTGTGTGTAGGTGATGTAGTGTTTGTAGAGAGTATGTGTTCAGGGAATGTGTTTGCTTACAAGGAATCTAGTGTGCGTATAGGGGATCCAGAGTGTGTGTGTGTGTATGTATGTATGTGTATATATATATGTCTTGTGTGTGTTTGAAGGACCCAGACTATGTATAGGAGATCTAGTGAGCGTGCGTATATAACGGATTCAGAGTGTATATAGGGATCTAGTGTGTGTATGTGTGTAGATGATCCAGAGTTGGGTAAAGGATCTAGTGTGTGTCTGGAATGTAATGTGTTTAGGGGTGCAGTGTGTGTGTGTGAGGGGTGATGTGTGTGTGTGTGTGTGTGTGTGTATATATATATATATATTATATAAATATGTTTAGAAGTATTGTGTATGTGTGTGATGCAGTGTATCGGGCGGTTGTGTGTGTATGTGAGGGGTGCCGCATATGTGTGTGATGGATGCTGTGTATGAGGGTGCTGTATGTGATTGATTTGTGTGAGGGTGCTGTGTGTGTGGGTGCTGTGCATGATGTGTGTGAGTGCTGAGTGTGATAGTGCTGTGTATGATGTGTGTGAGTGAGTGTGTGATGTGTGTGAGTGCTGAGTGTGATAGTGCTGTGTGTGATGTGTGTGAGAGTGCTGAGAGTGCTGTGATGTGTGAGATTGCTGTGTATGATGTGTGTGTGTTTTGTGTGATGTGTGTGAGTGCTGAGTGTGATGTGTGTGAGTGCTGTGTGTGAGTGATGAGAGTGCTGAGTGTGATGTGTGTGAGAGTGCTGTGATGTGTGAGATTGCTGTGTATGATGTATGTGAGAGTGTTTTGTGTGATGTGTGTGAGTGCTGAGAGTGCTGAGTGTGAGAGTGCTGTGTATGAGGTGTGTGAGAGTGCCGTGTATAAATGTTGTGTGTTGGGGGTAAATAAACAAATAAAAAAATAAGCGGGGTTAAATATAGAAATAAAAAAAACTAAGGGGGGTAAATAAACAATTAAAAAAAAAAAGCTAAGCAGGCATTAAACCCCCCCCCTCCCTTCTTACCTTTAGCCTGGGAGGGGAGGGACCAGCACTCGTTCATCATCCCTGGTGGTCCAGTGGTGAGGGCTGAGGGCTAGAGTTCACTCTTGCGAGATCAGGGTGTTGCCATGGCAACGCTCCCGATCTCGCGAGAGGAGCCCGGCGGAGCTGCAAGATAGTTCTCCGCCAGGTCCTCTCCCTCCCTCCCCAGCCGCAGGTCTATTTAAATGGGCCGGTGAGGGAGATCTTTGATCTCCCCACCGGCCCTTCATGGAAGACTGCGGGGCCGGCGCTCGGATAGCGCCGGCCCTGCATAGACCAGCAGGGGAGATCCTGGGACCTCCCCTGCCGGCCTCGGCCCATGGCCACTGCGGCCCACCGGCCATTTGCCCGGTGTGCCCGATGGCCAGTCCGGGCCTGATCACATTTGCCCTCTTTTCAGCCCCTCTCTGTGTCTCTGTCTCCTTCCCCTGGTCCTTTTCTGTTCCCTTCTCTCTCTTTCCTCCTTGCATGCCTACTTACCTCCCTTCTTGTCTAGTGGCCAAGATGACCTCAGTAAAGGATCTTCTGTTTCCTCTAGTAGGACTGACAGGAAGCTGTTCACTGCTCTCACTGAGCACTTTTTAGACCAGGTTGAGGATAAAGATCTGCTTGTTCACGCTACATGAAGTGTTTGACGGAGGGGGAGTGCTCTCCTCCTACCGATCACCTGGACCCTTGATGTTGTGCCCCTTAGACGGGTGCACCTTAAGGTGGCTACATGTGCCACCTTATGGTAATGCTGGCCCTGAGTGGATGTATTGTCTGTGTTTTTTTAGTGGACGAAGTGTCTTTTTTTAGTGGACGAAGTGTCTTTGTTTAGTGGATGCGTTGTCGATTAAGTGGATACAGTGTGTGTAGTGGATGCAAGTGTGTTCACACTGCATGTAGTGTGTAGTATGCCGGGATGTTGCCATGGCAACACACATATATATTGTGACAGACCCATCTGTATTAACTAGAATTGCTGTGTTCGTCTGTTTTGCCATTTGCATGAATTGCCCCATTCGTAAGGGAATGTATTTTTTTTGTCGAACGGAACTACCGAACGGACGGCCACCCAGAAGAGAAGTGTGCTGCTGGTTAACCTATTGATCCCAATTAGAACGTTGCAGTTAACCACAGACACTTCTCAATTAAAACCGAATACAGGGTGGTCGTCGTTCGTATGTCGACCACGAGGCGGCGGCCATTTTAACTATGCGAAAGCCCAGCGGTGTTCGACGGTTATTCCATGGAACTAAAAACGGACACTTTTTCAACCAAGCACCGCTGAAGCCTTCGACCTCCCCTTCTCAATCGACAAAAATATACGAATACCGGCCGTTCGAGAGATTTAAAGGCATGAATGGACTTACCCCAGATAGCCTTCCCATGGAGTCAATCGCGTACCGAAGAACTGTAACAGACTTTGACTCCATGGCAATTGAACTATGTGTGTGGGATATGAGCGCTATTCGCCAATAATATGCACTCAGATCCAGGCTATCTGGGGATGTGTTATACGAATGCAATACGTTCAACAGTTATAAAGTTATGTATTTTAATGTGTTTTGTAACTTGTATTTAAAATGGCGATTTGCCTCTGCTCTGGGAGATAATTTAATTACTTCTCAATTATCTCCCGAGCAGAGGGAGGAAACTGTGTTGCATGCTGGGAATATTGTGGGGATGTATGTCTGAAATGTCCCCATGTTATTCCAGTCTCCCATTTGGTCCCCTAGGGGAGTGTCCACCAAGTGGGAGACCTGCATAAATACGGGCAGGTAGCCCACAGTAAACTCAGTTCGTGTTTTACCCTCAAAGCGGAGCTTGGTCTCGTTATTGGGGGGATTTTATTACCGGCGACTAGAGACTGCTTATTGGGATAATTTGCCGCTTGGAAACTATTGCCGTTCGACTGCTATTGGCGATTCGTGCATTTGGAGCTCGTGAAGGGAAAGAGCCGTACAGGTACCGTTCGGGAGTTTGGAGAGTTCCCTGGCTGGCAGTTCGCATGGTTGTACTGCATACGCTACCAGACCACATTATTGCGAACGGGGAGCATTCACTAAACGGCGGTTTGTGCATTTATTACTGGAGGTACCGTAACATACATATATATATATATATATACACACACACACATACACACACACACATATACACGGAACAAAATTATAAACGCAACACTTTTGTTTTTGCCCCCATTTTTCATGAGCTGAACTCAAAGATCTAAGACTTTTTCTACGTACATAAAAGGCCTATTTCTCTTGAATATTCATAAATCTGTGTTAGTGAGCACTTCTCCTTTGCCGAGACAATCCATCCACCTCATAGGTGTGGCATATCAAGATGCTGATTAGACAGCATGATTATTGCACAGGTGTGCCTTAGACTGGCCACAGTAAAAGGCCACTCTATAACATGTGCAGTTTTACTGTATTGGGAGGGTCCAGGGGGGTCCAAAAACCAGTCAGTATCTGGTGTGAACACCATTTGACTCACGCAGTGCAACACATCGCCTTCTCCTAGGTCTTTGATATCAGCTCATAAAAAATGGGGGCAAAAACAAAAAGTGTAGCGTTTATAATTTAGTTCCAACATATACTGAACAAAATTATAAAGCCTGGCACATTGAAAGAAATGCTTTTGACAAGTAGCAATTAGTTATTTCTTTCAATGGGAACTGACGTTAGTGCTGGGGATGGAGAAAAAGACAGAGGGGCTGAGCAGATAGCACTGTGAAGAGCATTATACGTCCAAAAATTATTTAGCCTCATAACCCATAGTTCCCAACATTTCAAATGCACAACGATAAACACTTTAATTTTAGGGTGTGACCAGGGCTGGCCCGTCCATATGTCCCGGTGGGGCCATGGATCTAGATGGCTTTTATTCAGACAAACTTCCCCCCCGGTCTTCACAGTGGTCCAACTCCTGAAACTGTAGCGTGGCGGCTAGGAGTATTGCGACTCCTGCTTTCTTAGTTGTCGGATTGTTGTGGAATATTTAGCGTGATACAATCTATTCTATAGCCTCAGAGCCATACTCCTGAGTAAGTGAGTCTCTTGCAAGAAGGCTATGGATGCACCATGTGTTCGGAGTTCCCTCAGCACATGTGTTCTGCATTCCAGGGCGTTAAGTCCCCTGCAGTTAAGGGTGAGGACAGCAAAGGGTGCCGGTCGGAATGCCATCGGCCCGGATGAGTGTGACCGCCCATGAGGCGCACAGGAGTGTGGTCCGCAGAGGAACAGCAGCCATTATATGTGTGAAAGGTGGTTATAAGAGGAAAGGGTGGGGGAGATAGTGGTGTATGGCGTGTGGGTCTCCCAGGTGCGCCCCACCCCTCTGTCCGTAGGTGGGGGTTGGCCGGGAAAGCTCTGGTAAGGGAAATGAGAAAGGAAGAAATGATAGATAAGTGGGAGAAGAGAGAGAGCAAGTATCTAAGCCCTAAGGAAGCCCCTGGATAGTAGAGTGATACTCCCTAGGGCCCTCAATACCCCACCACCCATGATAGGCACATGAGCGAGTGTGGGAAACGTTGCACAATCACCACCATCAGGCCACAGTAACCTTACGTTTAAGTTATTAAATATGTCACTTGCTCGTCTCAAAGCCCAAATATAACAGAAAAATAACAGTGCTAAACATATGTACACATTAACTGTATAAGTTGTATGAAACATACATCTGAACTTCCAGACTCTAGCATAAAAACAGACAATGCATCCCCATATCTGCCATCATTCCCAGGTTAGACTTCCGCTATCCAATGTCATTATGGAGAATGTTGGGGACACCTCTGACCCTCTCCTAGCCCAATGGCTGCCGCCTAGGTTCATGCGATCTGCTACTCCCTCTCCCCCAGGTCCAAAAGGAAAAAGCCTATCCCCAGTGGGCAGTACATGAGCTGACTTCCCCTCTTTACGGATGACAGTTAACTATTAATATATCCCATCTCGTAGTAGCAGCCTCCATCCCCCCCAACCCCTCCTCCCCCCTCCTCATTTCTATACATGGTCTGTCCCCCCTCCCTCTCCATCTCTCCATAAATGTCCCTAACTTTCCCTCCTTTCACATGTAACTCGGGCCTCATGTCCCTGCTGGAGCTGTTGAGTGGCGCTGTCTCTCCCATTCCCCCACCTCCTCTTCCCCCATGGCCTGCGTTCAGGGCTGTCGTCCTTCCCTCCACCCCAGACCTGTCCCTCATGGCTCTATTGTAGCTCTGATCCATCCATATGTCTGGTCATCAGATACCCAGCAGATACAATCATTTTGGACTTTCTTAGTAACTTATGTCTTCCATCCCCCATATTAAATTTGTAACTCACCTTTTTAAAACTGGTGCCAAAACGTACACTTTATATTCAAGGTGGGATGTTACCATTAATTTATAAAAAGGCAAAATGATATTTGATAACGTGAATTGTACAATCATTTGCAATGACAGACAGGCATAGTATACTGTTGCCTAGTTTATCTATAATTGTTCACAAGTCCTTTTCATTTAAAGGACCACTATAGTGCCAGGAAAACATACTCGTTTTCCTGGCACTATAGTGCCCTGAGGTGCCCCCACCCTCAGGGACCCTCTCCCGCCCGGCTCTGGAAAGGGGAAAGGGGCTTAAACTTACCTTTTTCCAGCGCTGGGCGGAGAGCTCTCCTCCTTCTCTCTTCCTCCGTTCCGCCCCGTCGGCTGAAGGTGCACACGCGCCAAGAGCTGCGCGCGCATTCAGCCGGTTGCATAGGAAAGCATTTACAATGCCTATTGTAAATCACAGTGAGAAGCACGCAAGCGCCTCTAGTGGCTGTCAATGAGACAGCCACTAGAGGATTAGGGGGAAGGCTTAACCCATTAATAAACATAGCAGTTCCTCTGAAACTGCTATGTTTATTAAAAAATGGGTTAACCCTAGCTGGACCTGGCACCCAGACCACTTCATTAAGCTGAAGTGGTCTGGGTGCCTAGAGTGGTCCTTTAATGTTATCCCTACCTCAACCCCATTTAATGAATAAGTGGCTTGTGGGTTCTTTATTCCAAAAGACATTACTTTGCATGTATCAGTATTGAATCTCATCTGCCACTTGCATGTCCAGCCCCCATTTTATCAAAATTCCTCTGTAGAGAAGTTATATCATGTTCAGACTGTATTTTTTTTTTACCTAGTTTTGTGTCATCTGCAAACACAGACAAATTACTTCTAATGGTAGATAGTCCAGTAAAGTATTGCTAGGGTGCCAGTATTGCTAGGATACTTGATAGAGTTCCTCTGTGGATGCGTCTGGTGTAGACCGTTCTGTATATGTAAATACAAGAGAGGTAGAGGCGACTAATGGTATAGTATGAAAGTTCAGGGTGTGATAGGTAACAAAAAGTAAAGAACTCACATTCAGGAGAGCTATGGCCAGCTCTGGTGTGGATTGCGTACAGCGGTATAATCCCCGCTATGGGATATGTAGGGAGGGGTCTCCGTCAGCACCGTCTGGTAGTCCAGAGCTCGAAAAAGAAAGACAGAAAGCAACAATAGTGCTCTCAATTTTGATGTTGTTCAATGTGCAGATAAGAAGAGGTAAAAAACTCACATTTGAGGGAGCTATTGCCAGCTCTGGTGTGGATAGCGTACAGCGGTATAATCCCCGCTTATAGGATATGTAGCGGCGATACGTCCGTCAGCACCGTCTGGTGATCCAAGGCTCCAATATAGAAGAATAAAAAGCAGCAATAGTGCTCTCAATTGTGATAGGTTAAGAGAGTAGTAGAGAAAATAAAATAATACTCACAAAGATAGAGCAGAGGTACTGCTCTATGGATAGGCGCCGGTGGTATGATCCCCACCTAGGATTTCTTGGAGTACTGGAACTTTAAAATTGCCAATGGAAGTAAAAGTAACCAGGAAAGGTTAAAATGCCAGGAATAGGTAAAAACAAAAGTTGTTTAAAGTGCATAAAGAGTGCAATAAAAAGAGGATTGGTACAATAAAGTAGCCAAAAAACTTTTATTGATCTAAAATACACAGTAAAATACAGAATTAATAACCATAAACGCGTTTCACCATAAGTGGCTTCTTCAGAATGATCCCATTCTGAAGAAGCCACTTATGGTGAAACGCGTTTATGATCCCATTCTGAAGAAGCCACTTATGGTGAAACGCGTTTATGGTTATTAATTCTGTATTTTACTGTTTATTTTAGATCAATAAAAGTTTTTTGGCTACTTTATTGTACCAATCCTCTTTTTATTGCACTCTTTATGCACTTTAAACAACTTTTGTTTTTACCTATTCCTGGCATTTTAACCTTTCCTGGTTACTGTTACAAACTGCCATTTGTAACTGTTATTTTATTTGACAAATTGCCCTGCTTCCCTGTGCTATGGAGAAGCCTAATTGCCAGCCTTCTGCCCCATGACTATGGACCTAGTGTGTATGGCGATTTGACTGTATTTGTGGGATCTGAGCGCTGTTTGGATATATTGAGCGCTCAGATCCAAGCCATCTGGGGATAGGTTGAATGTGGGGGTTCTGTTCAGTTGATAGGAGTTATGCATTTTTGTGTCTTTTTGTGTCTTTTGCTAACATGTGGTTAATGGAGTCTGCCTCTATCCCTGGATAATTGGATTACTTTCCCCATTGTCCAGGATAGAGGGCTCTGTAAATCCGGTTTGGGCCAGAAAACCATGCTGCCAACTAGGCCCCAAAAGATACTTTTGCTAACTTTTGAACCCCTTGTCTGATTTGTGCCAGTTTTTAATATGTTGCTCCCCTGAATGGATTGATTCTAAATATGTATTTTTATGAAGAGTGGATGTGTAGTTTGGAAGTTATAGTACATGTATAAAAACTGTATTTTTACTGTTCTGTTTTAATTATGTTATGTGTTTATCTGAGGGATGGGAATTTCCCCGAATGTATATTGTTCCGATTGGTTATACTGCTAATTATGTGGGTGTCTCCCTTGCATGGGCAGAATCTCATAAAAGCAGAGTGTGTGCCATTAAACATCAGATCTTCTTGACCCTCTAACTTGCAGCCTTGACTCATGTTTGTAGGGGACAGCTATAATCACTACAGGGATTGCTATGCTCTTCATACTCCCTTAGCTACTGAGCTCTTGTAAGAGCTCTTGTTCCTGATCCTGCTTCGCTCTGCAGAAGGAAGAGGTTCACCTACTGCAATCTGGAGCCTGGTCGTGGGTTCAGGGCACAGAGCAGACGGCGAGATACCAGCCCAGCAGTGGTGGTTCGTGGAGTCTCAGTACTTCTGGTGGCTACACAGTAGTTATGGTGTCTACGGTGCTGATGGTCCTTTGGTGAGCGCTAGGAGCATCCTTTCTACGGTCCAACTTCCAGCCAGCCTGGAGGCAACCGTAACAGTTACTTTTACTTCCATTGGCAATTTTAAAGTTCCAGTACTCCAAGAAATCCTAGGTGGGGATCATACCACCGGCGCCTATCCATAGAGCAGTACCTCTGCTCTATCTTTGTGAGTATTATTTTATTTTCTCTACTACTCTCTTAACCTATCACAATTGAGAGCACTATTGCTGCTTTTTATTCTTCTATATTGGAGCCTTGGATCACCAGACGGTGCTGACGGACGTATCGCCGCTACATATCCTATAAGCGGGGATTATACCGCTGTACGCTATCCACACCAGAGCTGGCCATAGCTCCCTCAAATGTGAGTTTTTTACCTCTTCTTATCTGCACATTGAACCACATCAAAATTGAGAGCACTATTGTTGCTTTCTGTCTTTCTTTTTCGAGCTCTGGACTACCAGACGGTGCTGACGGAGACCCCTCCCTACATATCCCATAAGCGGGGATTATACCGCTGTACGCAATCCACACCAGAGCTGGCCATAGCTCTCCTGAATGTGAGTTCTTTACTTTTTGTTACCTATCACACCCTGAACTTTCATACTATACCATTAGTCGCCTCTACCTCTCTTGTATTTACATATACAGAACGGTCTACACCAGACGCATCCACAGAGGAACTCTATCAAGTATCCTAGACCATCTATTGGCACCCTAGCAATACTTTACTGGACTATCTACCCTTATTTGGCGCAGCCCTTCCATATCTTTTTGTATCTATCCACCGAAGGACCCGAGGGGTTTTCCTTCATTTGGGTTGCTGCCTACCTTGACTAATTTTGTGATTACTAGCGCTGAATTCTTTTTGTGTTTAAATTACTTCTAATGCCCACTTCAAGATAATTTATAAACAGATTAAAAAGAAGTGGACCTAGGACAGAACACTGAGGCACTCTACTTTACACTTTTGTCCAATTTGAAAATTGCTGAGTTTGAAAAAAAATCAGTCAGCAGTCAGGAATGCTTCCTGGTTGATCTAACATTTGAAATTCACTCTCAATTCACTATTAGTTCTAGACATTTCTCACTTTGGTAAAAAACCTGGAATGTTTTTATATGCAAGGCTGAAGGGGTAGTGTCTGTGCCCCAAAATTACTTTATTATGGAATGAGAAAAAAATGGTAAAAAATAAGACAGCTAATGCATTTCTACAATTATTAATCACTATGTATATGAAGTTGAGTTGATCATTCTATGCACAGATGCTATAGATTCTGTAGTTATAATTCAAAACTCCTGCCTCGAATAGTGTTCTGTTTCTCTAAACATAAAATACAACACATCTGCAAATTTTAAAGGTAATTTTTTTTGTTCAATGGTATTTTATACACTATATGGACAAAAGTATTGGGACACACCTCTTAATTATTGAATTTAAGTATTTCAGACCCATTGCCATAGGTGTATAAAATCAAGCATGTGGCCATTCAGTCTTCATTTACAAACACTTGTGAAAAAAATGGGTCGAACTTAAGAGCTCAGTGAATTTAGGTGTGTTATTGTGATAGGATGCCACCTTTGCAATAAATCAGTCTGTGAAATGTCATTCTTGCTAGATATTCCACGGTCAACTGTAAGTGGTATTATTGGAAAGTGGAAGTGTAGAAACAGCAGCAACTCAGCCACAAAGCGCAAAACCACGTTATGTAACAGAGCGGGTTCACTAAGTACTGAGTGGCACGGTTCATAAAAGTAACAAATGCTCTGCTGATGTCATAGCTGAAGAGGTCCAAACTTCCACTGGCATTATTATCAGGACAAAAATCTTGTGGCAGGAGCTTCATGGAGGAGGTTTCTATGGCTGAGCAGCTATACGCTCACATCACTTAGTACAATGGCATGCATCAGATCAACTGTACTCTGGAGCAGTCTGTGGTGCAGTAACGAATCACGTTTCTCTGTTTGGCAGTCTGATGGGCGGATGCCAAAAGAATGCCAACTTGTATTGTGTCAACTGTAAAGCTTGGTAGAGATTGGAAAATTATATGGGGTTGTCTTTTTAGGGCTTGGGCTAGGCCCCTTACTTCCAATGAAGAGAAATCTCTTTGGGCAACGCTATGCTTCCAGCTTTGTGGGAACAGTTTGGGGAAGTCCCTTTTCCATTCCAGCATGACTGTGTCCCAGTGCACAAAGAGATAGGTGGATGAGTTTGGTGTGGGTGAACTTGACTGGCCTGCACAGACCTCTGGCTTCAACCCTATCAAACGCCTTTGGGATGAATTGGAATTCAGCATCTGTACCTGATCATACAAATGCCCTACTGAATAAATAGGAAAACATTCCTAAGGAATTCTTGTGGAAAGCCTTCCCAGAAGAGTGAAAGCTGTTATAGCTGCAAAGGGGGGACCAGCCATATATTAAAGCCTATGTATTTAAGATGCAATGTCATAAAAGTCCTTGCTGGAGTAATGGTGAGGTGTCACAATTCTTTAGTCCATATAGTGTATGTGCACATATAATTTGTCATTTAAATACTAGCTAATATAGTTTATTGTGTTTTCTTTGCTCCTCCAGGTACCACAATACCAGGACCCTGCGGATATTTTTGTAGCTTTATATAAATTTATACCACAAGAAAATGAAGATTTAGCTATGAGGTAACATTTCCTTTAACAAGTGGTTTGGTGCTCAAGGGGAATAGGAGTAGGAACCAATGCACTGCCTGGAGTTTTTGTAGTAACCATGGCAATGACCCAGCAAAACATTATACAGAAATAATGGGCAAGTCCCAGCATACTTACTATTTATAGCATTGTCAAAAGATATACAAAATGTAAAAATGAAAAGGAAAACAAAAATAATAAAACAAATTATACAAATACAGCCAGGAACACTTAAAGTAACTCCTAGAAGAAACAAAATGGTACAAACATAATTGTATTACATAGTAATCAGGTCACGTGACCCCTATAGTATAAAACTGATATCCTTTATGGCCACTTGTTTTCTTTTTGTTTTACATTATATTTCCTATTGCTGTTTTACTAATATGATTGGTCTCGATTTACAATATTGATTACTTATTATTATTGACCAATTACTACTGCAACTTAAAAAAAAGTAGGACTGCACAATAGACTGTAATTGTTATGGTGCATGGAGTGTTCATTTAATGGCATCTTGGGTATTGTCACCTTTTCGTTGTAAAATTTAGAGCACAGTTTGTTCAATACATCTGCAGTGCTTTGTCTCTTTGATTTAAATATCCTGGCTTCATTAGGCCTTGCAGGTGCAGATGAATGATCTGTTGCATAACCGCAAATAAATTTTGCCACCTAGGATATTTTGCACAGCTTATTATTGGTCCAAACATTACAAGCATGACAGCTAAGCAGACTTACAAAGAGTCACTGTTGAAAGCTAATTTAACATTTGCCAGCTGAGGACTTTCACTGCTTTGCACCCTCAGACTATGAAAGAAAAATGTCAAAGGAAATCCTTCCCTGACACTGTGTTTAGAATATACAGAATATTTAATAAATTATGCCAAAGTAGATTAATGTAGCAATTAGTATTGTATTGAAAAAAAGGATTGTGAAAGTGGCATAAAAATTACTTTACATAGAGCATCTGTGAAAGAACTCAAATGGCATGCATAAAATCCTGTTGGAAGAAATCGACTTTTATTTAGCAGTAAAACGTCATTTGTGTCTCATTTTATTGTAGGCCGGGTGATAAAATAATTGTTCTGGATGATTCAAATGAGGATTGGTGGAAGGTATGTATTAAAAAATACTAATATTTAACAATATAAATGAACAATTGTCTTATACGAGTACATCACTTATCAAAAACAAAGCTTAGATGACGTTTAGCTGCTCTTTAGAGAGAAGCCCTAAAAAAATAAGTTTAGCTTAATGTGGTTTTGGTGGTGTACATATCATGCCCACAGTCTCAGTGCTCAATTATCTGCTATTAGTTAAAGGACCTCCAAAGTCACACACACCACTTAATCGCAATGAAGTGGTTTAGGTGTAGTGGTCATGTTATTTCATCCATGCAATATAAAACATTGGAGCTTTTGAGAACCTGTAATTCCTACATTGCAGGGTTAATCCCACCTTTTGACAGCCACACTACTGGTACTTATACTGTACTGACCAAGTAAAACTTGATCACGTGACACAACAGTTCATAGGAAAGCATTGAATACAATGCTTTTCTATAAGAAAAATTGGATTGGACTATTGCCAGAGAAGGCCATGCTTCTATGATTGCGTTGCAGGAAGTGGAGAGGTGAATAGCGCCAGAGTCTTGGCACTGAAATAAGGTGAGTAAAAAGCTTTTTTTAATTCCAATGGAGGGACAGTTGGATATTACTAGAGACAGGTTTGTATTTCTAATGCTATTGTGTTCCTTTAAATAACTTTACATCAACTTTGACACCATCCCCCCTGGTAGGCATGTGCATGGGGAAAATATTCGGCTCGGCATTCCGAAATTCGGGACTTCGGCACTTCGACGCTTCAGAACTTCAGCAACTTCGGAATTTCTGCACTTCGGCAACTTCGGAACTTCAGAACTCCGGCATTTCAGGACTTTTCTTGCAGCCGCTTGGTAGATAACTGCCTAATTCCCACGGTATTAGGGAGTTATCTACCAAAAGGCTGAAAGACCTAAATTGGTCTTTCAGACAAATTTACTAATACTAAGTAAAAATTACTATTAGTAAATTGTGCCCCTACTCGCTATACCGTGAGTAGGGGTATGTCTATTAAACAGTAGAAAAAAAAGGGTCCCCCCTCCCAGAGCGCCGGGTGGGGGCCCTAAAGTAAAAAAAGGGGGGAGGACCTATTGTCCTCCCCACTGGCCCCCATCCTTGAGGGCCCTAAATTAAAATTGGGGGGGGTGCAACCTAATGTCTTCCCCCCCTGGCCCCCACCCTTGAGCAGCGGGTGGGGGCCCTAAATACAAATTGGGGGGGAGACCTAATGTGGGGTGGGGGTTCTAAACAAGAATAAAGAGGGGACCAAATGTCCTCCCCCCCTGGCCCCCAATTTGTATTTAGGGCCCCCACCCACCGCTCATGGGTGGAGGCTAGGGGGGAGGACATTAGGTCCCCCCTTATTCTAGTTTAGGGCCCCACCCACCGCTCAGGGGTGGGGACCAGGGGGAGGAGATTAGGTCCCCCCCAATTTGTATTTAGGGCCCCCACCCACCCCTCAGGGGTTGGGGCCGGTGGGGAGGACAATAGGTCCTCCCCCCTTTTTTTACTTTAAGGCCCCCACCCGCCGCTCAGGGGTGGTGGCCGGGGGGGGGAAATAGGTCACGTCGCGGGTGGGGGCTCAGGAGGGGGACCTTTTTTTTACAGTGAGCATAGGCTGCTCACTGTTTAATAGACATGCCCCTACTCGCGGTATAGCGAGCAGGGGCATAATTTACTAATACTAAGTAATCTTTACTTAGTATTAGTAAATTTGGCTTAAAGACCAATTTAGGTCTTTCAGCCTTTTAGTCAGGGCCAGATTAAGAGCCCAGTGGGCCTGGTGCTGACAATTATGATGGGGCCTAATTACAGAAATGTCACGGCCCCCGGCTCGCCGCGAGGTGCGGTCGCACGGGACCAGTGCGACCGCGCCAACGAACTGAGCTTACCTGCTCAGCAGCGAGTCGGGAGCTGCTCTGCCGGGTTCTCCCGGCTGCCTGCCCAGGTTCAAGATGGTGCCGAACACACGGTCGCAGCTAGATATAGCTCTGCCCCCCAGGGTCACACACACACACATGTTCTGCAGTCAGAGTGATATTTAACCTAGGTTATTGCCCTATTGTGGTTTTCGTTCCTGGTTCCTGAATCCTGAGAGTGCGTTTCCTTGTCCTGTTTTTGATATTCCCAGTATTTTGACCTTGGCTATTCCTGACTATTCTGATTCCTGACTTGGCTTGTTAAATGGTATTGTATATTTCTGGCTCCCTTGACCATTCTCTGTTTTTAAAGTATTAGTCAGGCCATTCTAAGGACCGGTTTACGTTTTATAATTTTCTGTTCAGTTTATGTAGATGTTACATAGTTCTGTGTGCTGGACCACACTAGCAGTCATGACACGAATCTTAGTCATACCTCTCAAGCGTCAAGTATCTAATGGAGATGGTGTTGGAGGGAAACTCAAAGGATGCAGCTTTAAGAAAACACATACTCTATGCTAATCTCTCTCTAATTTATGCTTTAATCTTTCAAGTAAATCCATACCCCCTAACAGCAGTGTCCAGTGAAGCAGGAAGTCAATGGGGACACTGGGAGAAATGGGGACACAGACACTAGGGACACAGAGACACAGACACTGGAAGACATGGGGACACTAAGACACTAGGGACACTGGCTGGGAGGCATGGAGACACAGGCATGGAGACACTTGGGGACACTGGGAGACATGGGGACACTAGGGACACTGAGAGACATGGGACACAGACACTGGGAGACATGGGGACACAGACACTAGAGACACTGGTTGGGAGACATAGGGACACTGAGACACTAGGGGGACTGGCTGGGAGACATGTGGACACTGGGAGACATGGGGACATGGGGGCACTGAGACACTAGGGACACTGAGAGACATGGGGACATAGACATTGGGAGACTAGGGGACACTGGGAGACTAGGGGACACTGAGACAATAGGGACACTGGCTTGGAGGCATGGGGACACTGTGTCCCACGTGTCTCTGTGTCTCAGTGTGTCTCCCAATGTCCCCATGTGTCTCAACATCCCCATATCTCACAGTGTCCCCTAGTTTTCAGTGTCCCCATGTCTCCCTGCTGCCTTTCCCCCCCCCCATCTTTCACTTACCTGAGCTGCAGGCTGTTTCTGTAGGCTGGGAGCTGCTGTCTGGCCTCTCTGTGCTGTGTAGCTGCTCCCCTGCGGATCAGTGAATAGAGAGAGGCAGGGAGTGATATGCTGTAACTTCCTATCCCTGCCTCTCTCCACACACAGTGACCCCACTGGTTAGTGCTGGTATTGCAGAGTAATCTCCGTTTATACTGAGAAAAATACCTGCATTTGTATTGCCGGTATTACTGCAATACCGGCATGGCCAGGCAGCCTCAAATACCGGCTGTGCTGGTAAAACACCAGTCAGGTGGCAAACCTAACAGTAGTGTGTGTAAAAAAAAAAGTAAAGAATTTTTTTTTTTTTAAATGGGCCTATTCCATGGGCCTGGGCCTGGAGCTGCAGCTCCATCAGCCCCTATGTTAATCCGGCCCTGCTTTTAGTAGATCGCTCCCTAATACCGTGGGAATTAGGGAGTTATCTACTTATTCATTCCTGTCATTTCATGACTGGTAACTTACATTTTATATGAATGTATGTTACTTGATTGTTGTAAGTGTTGCAAATGCTTACAGCTGAATCCTGGCTATGTTTGTATACTTTTTATTTGAAATTATATACAGTATAACATTCTTCTTCTTTCACTGGGTAAGTATATTAGTACTTAAGCAATACTGTGCTTCAGAACTTCGGTAATTTCGGGACTTCGGCAATTCAGCTATTCGGACATTCAGAAGCACCAGAATGTCCGAATTACCCAAAATTTGGCCAAATTTTAATTCGGACCGAAATGAATTGCACATGTCTACCCCTGGCTGTGTCTGTTGATGCTTAGTGTATCCATTTAACCTGCTAGCATATTTGGGGGGAATTCAAAGTATCATTGCCAACAAAGTCAAGCTCCATCAAAGGGCCTTCACTAATTACATGTAGTAAAAATATCACTATAATTTTTAGATTTCAAAACCCAGTAAAAAAAAAAAAGAAACAAATAAAAAGTGGTGTAGTGATCAGTGAGCAGTGCCCCAAACTATGGAAGACACAAGAAAGAGGGGGTTGTAATCAGCACTCACTATCAAAAATTATACAATCAGTACTGATTAAATCTGGTTTGTTTTAAAACAATAAATTTGACCTGGTAGAGAGAATGTGAGATGAGTCAGTATTAACCTAAAGTGAGTTTAATATTGTGTCAATCTGAGGACACAGTATCTAATTACTGTCCAGGTTCTAAGACCTCGGTACAGGGTTTATTAAAACCAAGTATAGTTTTAGCTAATTTTGACAGTTTAACCATAGGTACTGATTGAATATTATAAATAAGAAATAAAAAAGGATACAGAGGCGCTATTGATTATAGACACTGGTGCAGCTAAAACTACCCAAGTGTAGTGTCACCAAATACACTTACAAAAATAATAGGATAAAGAGAAAGAGGGTGATTAGCACACACAAAATTAAGTTGATATTACCTTACATATACAGTATCTCAGGTAATCACACAACAGATTATTCTTGTAACCTATACACGTCCCCCTTCTCTGACGCGACTTCCTACATAGGGGAGCCCCACCAGTTTCAAAGTGCATGGTTATTTTGAAGCTTCCTATATTTTCTGACCGGTTACAAACAATTCTCTCGCTAAACTTCTCTACACGTGTACTGAACATGGACTGTTAAACCGCTGATCTCCATTCTGCTTCCCTTGACCTCAGACTACCTGTGATATAGTTCCTACTTTCTCTAGTCGGATTACATTACTGGAAAACCTTCCAAGAAAACGGCAAGTTATATAAATTGGAATGTATCATTCTTCTGGCATATCAATACTAGTGCAAATCTATTTCCTCGTCTCCTGAGTTCAACTAATGAAATATCTAATCTTTGATATTCCATCTATAAACCATCTGCAGCAACCACTCTGCTTAATTGTTTCATCTTCTACCTTCAAATCGTATTCCTTAAAGCTACTGGAACTCTTCTCACAAACTATCCTCATATTTTATTCCTTAAAGCTACAGGAACTCTTCTCAACAAACTATCTTCATATTGTATTCCTTAACGCTACAGGAACTATCTTCGGCAATCCACATTCAAATCAAATCCCTTTATTAGGAATTGTTCTATTTAAATTCTAATTCTTATTCTGATTATCCTCTAAGGTTAGTCCTATTATCAATTTCTGCAGTTGAGTTTCACTCCAAATCCATAGGTAGCATAACAGCCATAATTTAGTTGCTTTTTAACATGAATATATTTTTGCAGCTCTTCACTTTAAAAAGAAAGATGCTCATACAGATTAAATGATGGTAAGATGAATCTATTTATGGAGAATAGCTTCCTCCTTGAAGCCATTCAGGTGAAGTCCTAATAGACAAAATGATTTCACTTGGGATTAGAGGAGAAAATTATTCATTTTCTGCTGGAAATGTGGTGTCTGTAACTACAAGTTAATAATGGAATGTATTACTGTGGGGATATCTCATGATAGAAGCTCTCAATTTAAAAAAAATAATTTTTCAGAACAAAATGTGCACTCATGGGTATGTCAATGAAATGTGTGCTCTACTTCATTATATGTAGTATAATGTAATTTTAAAAAACAGCTGTAACGGACCGTTTTGCACACAAGGGGTAAAAACCGTTTAGGCGATCGTCCCCTTCTCAGAGAGGCAGGCACAGCTATTGTAAAACACCAAACTCACGAATCGCCAATAAGGGAATGCTCCAAACTCCCGAACAGCATCCAATATAGCACTCCAAACACACAAACTGGAACCATACGAATCACTGCTCGCAGACGAATAGGAAAAGCATCCAAGCGGCTTACACTCCTAGCAATCAGTCTCTATCAGCATTCAGTAAATCCCCCCAAGGACGAGACAAGGCTCCGTGTTGAGGGTCAAGCAGTGGTCTGTTTAATGAGGGCTACCTGCCCAGTATTTATGCAGGTCTCCCACCTGGTGGACACTCCCCTAGGGGACCAAATGGGAGACTGTGACAAGGGACAGACAAGTAGACAAATAAGACACACAGTCACATTATATTCCCACAATGCATCCTGGCTTCCTCCCCTCTGCCCTGGAAATAATTGAGAAGTAATTCAATTATCTCCCAAGACAAAGGCAAATCGCCATTATGCACGTGGGGATACTAACACAGGAATTACTATTAAAATGCACTATGTGAGACACATAACCTTAAAAGCATACATTTAACATATCCCCAGATAGCTCAGGTCTGAGCGCACATTATTAAGCGAATGGCGCTCAAACCACACAAATACAGTTCAATCGCCATGGAGCCAAAGTCTTTACACAGTCCGTTTAATGCGAATGGGCTCCATCGGATTCCTATCTGGGGTATAACACATTCAAGCAAAACTACCGAACACCGGGCCGTTCGTGCACTTTCACCGAACAAGAAGGGAGGTCGGCGGCTTCAGCGGTGTTCGCGCAAAACTGTGTCCGATTTCAGTTCCATGAATTAAGCGTCGAACACCGCTGTGTGTTCGCATGTTTAAAATGGCCGCGACCTCGTGTTCGTGATACGAATAGCGGCCATCCAGCATTCGTCAATTAAGCTGCAGTTAACCGCAGCTTCAGGGAGGCTAATTGCCGGCACACTCCAGCTCCCAGGCGGTCCAGTCATTCGTGCGGTTGTTCAGTAGATTGAATCTACTGAACACCAGGCAGAAAAGAATGAATAAATCTTTTCTGCAGGTAAAAATATGTCTTTTAACATGGGGCCATAGTCTAAGGGCAACAGGCAAGCAACCAGGCTTCTCCAATGCAATGTGGCGAGATTGCTCTCGTCACATCTCTCCCCTTTTCCAAACAGACTAACAGGGTATCTGACCTCCTGCCGGTCAGTGCCCTTTTTAGTCCAGCAGCCCACCCACAAAACACAATCAACAGCACAGCCCACCCACAATAAATGGTTACTACACCTGGGTATAGGAGATGCTTGTCCATGTCCAGGTGCCTGACCACGGCTGTGCTGGGTACGGGTATGCTGACTTGGTGGGTTGCTGCTTGGGCAGAGACCAGCGGTACTCTGCCCTGTTGCCAGCGCTACTGGGAGGGTAGCCTAGTTGAAGCCTGGTTGTTGGAGGGAGAGACCAACTGTCTCCCCTTTAGATACACAGCCCTGCTGCTGGAGACCGACTGTCTCCCCTTTGGCTACACAGCCCTGTTGCTGGGGGGCAGAACCGACCGTCCCTACCCCCTGTGCTGGACGTGCAGAGACCACGGTCCCATCTGCACAGTTGTGGGGCTTACTGTCTCCCCCGGGTACATTAAGCTGCCGCTGGGGAGAGGGGGTAACAAGCTCCTCTCCCATATATACTTCCAGCAACGGGGGAGGGAGACCGACTGTCTCTGCTCCCAATACAGAGTCCTGCTGCTGGGGAAAGGAGACTGGGTTCTCTATTCCTGGTAGGACACTCTGCTGCTGGGGAATGGAGACTGGGCTCCCAATTCCCAATAAATCATTCTGCCACTGGGGAATGGAGACTGGGCTCCCAATTCTCTGCAATTCATTCTGCTGCTGGGGGACAGGAGCAACTATCTCTGTCCCCTGTAACTCAGCCTGCCGCTGGGGAATGAAGACTGGGCTCCAAATTCCATGCTGTATCTCCCGCTGGGGAATGGAACTCGGGCTCCCACTTCCCTGCAATATCTCCCGCTGGGGAATGGAGACTGGGCTCCCAATTCCCCCAAAAATCATACTGCCGCTGGGGATCTGAACCGACTGCCCAGCATCCCTGTAGCTCACCCTGCCACTGGGGAGGGAGGACGCTGCTCTCCTCTCCCTGCAAGGAACACTGCCGCTGGGGGACAGGACCACCTGTCTCTGCCCCCTGTAACTCAGCCTGCCGCTGGGGAATGGAGCCTGGGCTCCCAATTCCCAATAAATCATTCTGCCGCTGGGGAATGAAGACTGGGCTCCCAATTCCCTGTATATCACACTGCCGCTGGGGAATGGAGACTGGGCTCCCAATTCCCTGCAGTACCTGCCGCTGGAGTTCTTCCCAACGTGCCAGCTGACCTTCTCTTTCTGCCTGGTGTTGCAGATTCTTGAACACTAGGTCCCTCATTGACTGCACGCATTTCGCCAGTGGATTGGGTCCAAAGAAGTTCAGCCGCAATTCCATCATATTATCAAACTCTCTCCTAGAGTAGCTGTACGCCACTGCTGGTTCCATCCTGGTACTGTCAGGGTCGCTGTACTCAGAAATACGTTGCCCTCAAATTGTAAATTCCATGGAATGATGTCTCCTGTAGCTGTCCTTTTTACTGTGGGAACGATCCCACTGCTGCCACCAATTGTAACGGACCATTTTGCACACAAGGGGTAAAAAAACGTTTAGGCGATCATCCCCTTCGCAGAGATGCAGGCACAGCTATTATAAAACACCAAACTCACGAATCGCCAATAAGGGAATGCTCCAAACTCCCGAACAGCATCCAATATAGCACTCCAAACACACGAACTGGAACCATACGAATCACTTCTCGCAGACGAATAGGAAAAGCATCCAAGCGGCTTACACTCCTAGCAATCAGTCTCTATCAGCATTCAGTAAATCCCCCCAAGGACGAGACAAGGCTCCGTGTTGTGGGTCAAGCAGTGGTCTGTTTAATGAGGGCTACCTGCCCAGTTTTTATGCAGGTCTCCCACCTGGTGGACACTCCCCTAGGGGACCAAATGGGAGACTGTGACAAGGGAAAGACAAGTAGACAAATAGGACACACAGTCACATTATATTCCCACAATGCATCCTGGCTTCCTCCCCTCTGCCCTGGAGATAATTGAGAAGTAATTCAATTATCTCCCAAGACAAAGGCAAATCGCCATTATGCACGTGGGGATACTAACACAGGAATTACTATTAAAAGACACATAACCTTAAAAGCATACATTTAACATATCCCCCAATAGCTCAGGTCTGAGCGCACATTATTAAGCGAATGGCGCTCAAACCAAATGAATACAGTTTAATCGCCAAAGTCTTTACACAGTCAGTTTCATGCGAATGGGCTCCATGGGATTCCTATCTGGGGTATAACACATTCAAACAAAACTACCGAACACCGGGCAGTTCGTGCACTTTCACCGAACAAGAAGGGAGGTCGGCGGCTTCAGCGGTGTTCGCGCAAAACTGTGTCCGATTTCAGTTCCATGAATTAAGCGTCGAACACCGCTGTGCGTTCGTATGGTTAAAATGGCCGCGACCTCGTGTTCGTGATCCGAATGGCGGCCACCCAGCTTTCGTCAATTAAGCTGCGGTTAACCGCAGCTTCAGGGAGGCTAATTGCCGGCACACTCCAGCTCCCAGGCGGTCCAGTCATTTGTGCGGTTGTTCGGTAGATTGAATCTACTGAACACCAGGCAGAAAAGAACGCATAAATCTTTTCTGCAGGTAAAAATATGTCTTTTAACATGGGGCCATAGTCTAAGGGCAACAGGCGAGCAACCAGGCTTCTCCAATGCAATGTGGCAAGATTGCTCTCGTCACAACAGCTGTCAACAAGTAAGATAAGTAAGCAGTCAAAACAAAGCTATCTATGGGATGTCATATGCAAATGTGTGCATTGTGATTTTGATGATGCAGAGTATGTGTGTCTGTGGGCATCATGGGTATTGCACAATAGAAGAATCCTGAATACACATGCCCCTGCTACTGAATGTTAGGATTATTGTGGTTCCAGCATAGGTGCACACTTTATTATATTGTAAGTAATATAACATATACTTCAAGAGATTTACAGAGGTAAGATGATATATTTAAAAAAAACAATTGCATTAAAGCAAAACGTACTGTGCCATTCCACAGAGTCATAGCAATGAATTAAATGTCACCAGTGATTTGTGATTTTTGATCAAGACCATTTAATTTGCAGGGTAGAATAGATGAAAGGATTGGATTTTTCCCTGCTAATTTTGTTCAAAAGGTCCAAAAAAATGAAAAACTTTTTCGTTGCTGCAGAACATTTATTGGATGCAAAGAACAAGGACAGATAACAATTAAAGAAAATCAGGTACATGATTTTTAATTTGTTTTTAATCTGAGCACTAACTAATTTGAGCCTGCATAAGGCGTATTCATTTCAGCTCTATGACTGTAGGACTGTGTTAAATCATCCTTGGTGAATTGAGATGTGAATTGTGCATTTTTTTAAGTAGAAATTAAAATAATCTCTTAATTTAGTTCACAAGTTAGTCATCATAAAACGTTGCACAGACATGCAATTACGGTGAATATTTAAATTTTTAAAAATGATTTCATTAAAGTTTTATTTAGGTATTTAATATATATTTTGGAAAGATATCTTTTAAAATGTGGTTTTAATTTTCAGATACATTATATTTAAAATATTTTTTTCCCATTATTTACAGTAATGAATCTTAGCATTAAAAAAAAAATGTATAAGATTAATTACTTAATCCTCAAATATTACTTTCGGGCTATAATGGAAAAATGTCAATTATATTTGTTCAGTTTTTCTATTTGGTGTGAGTCAAACTAGGATGTAATTTGCTTCAGGTGTAATGTAAGTATCATCAGGGCCGTCTTTAACGCTAGGCAAACGGGGCAGCTGCCCCCGGGCCCAGTTACTCCTTGGGGGCCCAAAGCAGCTGCCCTATTTGCCCCGCCGCCCATAGCCTGCATAAGAAAAATCCCTCCCCCCCCCCATGGGCCCGCGGTGCTGGTACTGCGGCTGCACCGGGGCCCATACTCTAAGGAGACTCACCGGGTGGCCAATACATTTAGGGCCACCCGGTGAGCACGTTTCAGCAGGGGCCCGGTCGGTGCTGTGACCCTTTAACAGCACGACCGGGCCCCTTGCTTTACAGCAGCACTGGGAGGAAGTGACGTCCGCAAGTCACTTCCTCCCTCAGAGATGATAAGCCGCGCGGGAGGGAGCCTGTGCCAGGACGCAGTGAGGAGGCGGACTGAGCAAAGAGACCAAGTCCCCAACTCCCAACCACCCAAGCCAGCACACTGGACCCCAGGGAAGGTAGGAAACTGGAGGGGGGCTTTAAAGTTTGCATAGGTGTATTTCAGTATGTCTGTGGGTCAGTATGTCTGTGTGTGTGTGTCTGTCAGTAGGTCTATGTGTGTCTGACTGTGTGCCAGTATGTCTGTGTGCCAGTGTCAGTGTCAGTAGGTCTGTGTGTCTGTCAGTAGGTCTGTGTGTGTATGTCAGTATGTCTGTGTGCCAGTATGTCTGTGTGCCAGTATGTCTACCTGGGTGTGCCACTATGTCTGTCTGTGTGTGCCACTATGTCTGTCTGTGTGTGCCACTATGTCTGTGTGTGTGTGTCAGTATGTGTCTGTGTATGCCAGTATGTCTGTCTGGGTGTGTGTCAGTATGTCTGTCTGGGTGTGTGTCAGTATGTCTGTGTGCCAGTATGTCTGTCTGTGTGTGCCACTATGTCTGTGTGTGCCACTATGTCTGTCTGTGTGTGTCAGTATGTGTCTGTGTATGCCAGTATGTCTGTCTGGGTGTGTGTCAGTATGTCTGTGTGTGTGTCTGTCAGTAGGTCTATGTGTGTGTGTGTGTGTGTGTGTGTGTGTCTGTCAGTAGGTCTGTGTGTGTGTCTGTCAGTAGGTCTGTGTGTGTATGTGTGTCTGTCAGTAGGTCTGTGTGTGTGTAGTATGTCTGTGTGTGTCTGTCAGTAGGTCTGACTGTGTGTGTGTCAGTATGTCTGTGTATCAGTATGTCTGTCTGTGTGTGCCATAAATATATATATATATATATATATATATATATATATATATTTATATATATATATATATATATATATATATATATATATATATATATATATATATATATCGATATATGTGTGTGTGTATATGTGCATACATCTCAGCATTCACACACTAACATCACATACAAATACACACTGGCATTCAAACTCCAAAACACATGTCTGAGTTACACACCAAAATTATATGTAAACACACCCCTGCATTCAAAAACCAACACTACACATAAATACATGCTTGCACGTACGCCAACACCACATACAAACATATTCCATACAAAAACCTGCTAACATTCAAACACACAACAGCTTAGTGCTAAATACAAACCTTCAAACATGGGTAGATGGAAGAGCCCCAGCTGTCAGTGCATTGCTGGAGTTGCACGACAGATGGGGATCTACCTTCTAATCACCCGTGCGATAGGGAGGCTCAAAAAAATTCTTGCACCTCTCTACTTTAGGTCTGCCACTTCGTTAGGGTGGAGGACGTGATTGCATGCCTGGTGAGGGGGGACAGGTTCCAGGGGCCCAAGCAAATGCTTTGCCCAGGATCCAATCAATATTAAAGACGGCCCTGATACTCTCAGGTCTAAGGCTAAATCAACAGATTACTACAGTCCCACAATCTAGAGCTGTCTGATTCTATGATTTCAGAGTGACGTGTTTAAAGTTATTGCTACAAATAACTGATTGTGCAAAGCTGACTTGATTAGGTAAACATTTATCCTAGGAGTTTTATTTTAGCATTAAATGTGTTTTTTAACCACAATTGGCCAGCAATAATGTAGACTGTTTATGATGTAATATAAAGGGTTAATATCTTGAACAGTTCTTAATTCAGTTCATTTACCAGTTCTACAGCATGTTATTTTGACTGTATAATTTTGAATTATGCATAGTCTGCATTACATAACGATGATTCATAAATCTGCAACCTTCATCTTTGTGCACTGTCTCAGATTCCTGTTAACGCTATTTGCATTTTCTGGAACATAATAAATGAAAAGAAGGGAAAAAAAAACTGCACACATTTGTCTACAAGTTAACTACTTATCCTATGACACAAAATACATCATAAGAGACCTTTCAGGCAGGCAACCTGCTGCTTCATGTACTGCTGGGAATACACTGATCAGCCACAACATTAAAACTACCTGCCAAATACTGTGCTCCCAAAACAGCTCTCATGCATTGAGGCATTGATTCCACAAGATTTCTGAATATGTCCTGTGGTATCTGGCAACAAGACATTAGCAGCAGTGAAAGAGTCCACTGCTTTCAGCAAGCTAATTGCCATTGAAGTGGTCTGCAACAATCGCTAGGTAGGTGGCACGTGACACAGTAACATCCCCATGAATGCCAGAACCCAAGGTTTCCCAACAGAACATTACCAAATGTATAACACTGCCTCTGCTGGCATGCCTTCTTCCTGTGGAGCATCTTGTTGCCCAAGTAAATTATACACACGTACCTGGCCCTCCACCTGATCTAAAAGAAAGCATGATTCACCAGACCAGGCAAACTTCTTCCATTGCTCCATGGTAATTTTCTAATGCTCATGTCCCCATTGAAGGCACTATCGGAGGTGGACAGGGGTCATCATGTGTCATCTTCTGACACCTTTCTATCATGGCGAGCATTAAGTATTTCAGCAATCGGAGCTGCAGCAGCTCTTCTGTGTGATCGGACCTGATGGCCTAGTCTTCTCTCATGTGCATCAATGTGCCTTGGGACCCTATGATCCTTCATTGCACCACTCTTGGGAACCACTGCATAACGGGTACAGCCCATATGACCCTATGACATGCCATTTTGGAGAATCTCTGAATCATCTAGTCATTTCTATTTGGTCCTTGCCAAGTCATTCAGATCTTTTCGCCTGCCTACTTTCCCTGCTTCCAACACATTAAATTCAAAAACTGACTGTACACTTTCTGTCTGATATATACCACCACTTGACAGGTGCCATTGTAATGATATAATTAATGTTATTCACTTCACCTGTCAGTGATTTTAAAGTTGCGGCTGATCAGTGTATACAAGTATCAAAATGATAAAAACCAAAATGGGGGGGGGGGAAGTACAGTTTTTTTTTTTTTATTTTTTTATTTAAGCATCTGTGTAAGCCATAATTACTTTCCTAAAGGAGATAAAAAAAAGTGTCATAATTTTTAACAACGGAGACATTTTAAATAATGTAAAAATTAAATAAATACGCTGAAATCTATTTCAAGCTTCAGATCACAATGTTCTCATTTATCTGAAGACTAATTAATAATACTCAATAATACTCATACACCAGTAGTTTAAGGGAAAAAAATCAGTCAGAACTATTTGCGTTTTAACTGGCCTATTTTGGGAGAGATATTTTGCCCTAGCTACCTAAAGGGTTATAAATCATAGAATAAGAGGCAGTGATGAAACTGTAAAAATACTGCGCCAGGTCTGAGTTGATTATTTTTCAGAACAATCTGAGTTTTAAAATATTTGCAGAGATTTTCACGTAAAGTTAGAAAAATTAATTGAAGTGTTCGTATTTTTCTGGCAAGCAATATGGTAATGAAAGAGACATAACTGGCAGAGACGCAGTATAACCGAAAAATATTTAACCATCACACTTAATTAAATCATTTTTAAAGTTCTCATGATAATTCACAACTAAGTAAACAGTTATGCTATGGCATTACCATATTTTAAAGCCAAGCTCTTTTCTTTTCGTTTTTTGCATGTGGAGAGTGGTTTTGGAGTACCCTCATGAGTGTCTTATAGCAGCTTTTTGAAATTTCTTCTATACTATATTTATAAGCGCCATTTATTCCCACACTTTTCTTTGTGTTGTTTCCAGTTATGCTATGGCATTACCATATTTTAAAGCCAAGCTCTTTTCTTTTAGTGTCCCAACACTTAAACAGTTAATAAACTCTTCTTTCTAAGAACCTTCCATTCTGTTTGTACTTATTCCATTACATCGATACAAAATATAATTAAAATGTGTAACCCAATACACAATAACAGTAAACACAAACAAAAAACAAAATTCTTATTTTTTGCAAATTTACAATCATTACATCATCAGCCTTAATCTTTGCCATTATAGAAATTAGCATGGCAAATCAAGAGCTTTTCGTACTGGTCAGCTTGAAGTTTTGTATGTCTAACCCAAAACCACATGGGTTAGAGTGTAAGGTGAAGTGCTGGCTACCAGTTATCACAGCTCTCTGTGCACAGCCTCAGTTATGATTAACGCAGCTGTTTCTAAGACTTGTAC